GAGAGAGAAAGAGAGAGAGAGAGAGTGCCGGAGAGTGGGTAGGGGATGAAAAGGAGAGCAGGCCGTTGGTGTGAGAGTGACATGGCGATAAGCGACTGTCAACCATCGGGGCCTTGGCTACAGGCCGGCATGGTGATAGGAGGCAGATGTGTGTGGGGTCAGCCGGACCGGACTGGCGGGATCGCGATGGCTTTCGCCCAATCGCGGACAAAAGAGGGCGAGGAGACTGAGCCCTGAAGGGGACGAATGACCCGACTGGGGGCATCTACGCGCACGATCACCGCGATTTCGCCCAACCCAGCAACTGCCGAGACAAGAGAGGATCGTTGTAGGCGGCAAGTTTGTTGTTGCTGGTCGGGCAAGTTGGAAATCGGCGGCAAAAAAGAGGAGGAAAAGCGAAGAGGAGCCAGAAATCGGAGAGGCGTAGGGTGGAGTGAACGAGAAGATAAGAAAAGGCGGTATTTTCTTTAGCAATCGCATGTTTCTTTGGCAGGAAAAGCTGGGCAACTTTGACGCCGGATTGGCTCGAGATAAAATGGTTGCTAATGCCGTCATCTCTGGGCTGGCGGAGGTACCGCCAAGTGGGCAGAAGAGGCGCTAGTCCGGCGGTCTCGAACCAGACTGTCTGGCAGCAATTCCGAAAGTGGCAATCTCAAATTGCCCCCGAGAAATGGACAAAAAGTGTGACTTTAACATGAGGCGACTTGGCCAAAATGCAACTTGTGTAGGCGCCCTAAAGCGCATGTCTTCAAACAAGTACAGGAAAATGGAATTCCGATGAAAGCCAAGACACCACCGGTCGGATTGGTCGTCCAGAGAGTGTGTTGTTTAGTCAAGTCCGTCCGAATTAACAAAAGCAATTTCAAGCTAATGCTTCGGCATGACTACAACACCAAAGCACATGCACACATGCATACACATATTCATGTAGGAATTGGAAATGAGACACAAATGGCTCGAAGTATGTACCGAGGTTGCTTTCGGCAAAACTTAATGGCATGAAAGTTGGGAGCACTTGTACAATTGGACATCAGAATTCGGCGTCGTGCAGGCAGATTGGACAGTGTTTCGCGAAGTAGAAAAAAATACGATCAGATCAGAAGACATCCCGACGAGGTTAGCAATTTGGTCGCAGATAAATTTCGGATTTCGCCTGATTGGCAACTTTCGTGGAAGGACAACGGGTTCGAGCCCCTTGGAATGCGTCCGCATGAGATGCTCATGTGGTATGGCATTTTTGCTGATGACCCTTTCTTTCTGTACCCAATTAGAAGTTGGTTTTCGACTACCCTTCGAAACGGAAAATTGTGTGACTGAGCGATTGGTATGTCTGTTGATTTCGGCCTTGGTCCGATGGGAAGATGATCACTCTTCGCATGAAGATTAAGACAAGAAGTGGGCTTGAAGTCGTTTCATGATTGAGCTCATCTTTCAATGATGTCTATCAGGCGGCAGGACAGACGCAAGGTCAGTACGGCTTGCACCCGAACAGAAGGACTTGTAACCGAGGCCTACTTCCGTCGGAACGTCAAAGCAACCTCAAATTGAACAACAGCTCATCGCTTTGCCACCGTTTGGAAATGTACAATGAAGCAACTTAGTGATCGAAAGTTTGTGATTGCATGTTGCTACATGTGCTTGTGTGTGTGCGTGTATGTGCATTTGCGACCGGGTCTCAGTGAAAAGTCATCTAAATTCACCGACTTGCAAGAGCCAGTCTTTGTGGGCAGTACACTTTTCCGTGCATAATTGGTCCTCTCCATCTATCAGCAAGGATTCTGTTCAAAAGCCCTGGTTACACACATGCACTAAACTCTTACACAAACGCTCATTCATGGATGGAAGTGGAAAAATGTGGATTTTGCAGATTCCCTGAACACGTTGCTGCTGGCATTCGCCACACCGAAATTGGGCCGAGGACCCATTTGCACAAATCTACAGTCAGTTTCCGGTGAGGGCAATACACGAAACCATTCCACTCGCATCTTCAAACGAAACTAAAGACATGCCCAACACTCGTGCAAACAAGCCATCCGTTTAAATCGCTACCGTTTGCACACACAAAAGTGCAAAACACACAAATGAGCACACACAGAGTCATGCACAACGGTGTCTTTATGGTGAAAAATGAGATCTGCGTCTTTATATCCTTTTTGTTGCTGTAGCAATATACAAGATGACTGAAGTTTTTATTCAAGAATAGTTGAAAATTCCGAAATTCCCTCACTCTGAAAATGATTACTGACTGATTCTAACGGCAAATACATGGTTGCATCATTCAGAATCGAGCTATAAAAGTGATATGAGAGAGGTTGGATTAAAAAAAAGTCACCTCACGGCCCAGTAGGAATCACTCGTAGCTGCATAGTTGAGGGTAACATGTCGCCACGATCCACACGACGATGGAGTGAAGTCGAAACTGCAGCTCACTCGGAATGGAAAAATCCATTTAAAAGTTAATCTCAACGGCATCCTGAGGCCCAGCCATGTTATTGCAGGAAGAAACTCTTAAAAGACTCTGCAGTTGCTATGGTTTTTCTGCGAAAGACGTCTGTCTGCTTGATTTTTGCAGGTAATTCCAATGGTTTTTGTACCGAACTAGTTGAAGATAAGACTCAATATGTACATTTATTTTATTTTCTCTATGCACTCCAAAATAACGACTTTGCCTCACCGTCTGAGTGCTACTCTTGTGGGGCTCGAAGCTTGGGTGGGTGGATTAGGAAACAATAAGAAGTACGACCTTGACTCGAATAATTTATGCGATAGGTTCATTTTTTTAGCACATTTTGTATTATTTCGTGGAAAATTTGTATCCATGTTCAACCCTTGTATGCAATTCTGCTAGATTGACTACTGATTGCAGTGTTAGTAGCTGATTGTTGTCAAGCTAAACCGATTTCGATATATTATACTCGTTTACAAACCATTTTTCGAATTAAGTATTGTTTTC